TGGAAAGAAAAGTTAAATCCATCTTGATAATGCTATTGGCTGGCTCATAGTTCTTTAAGTGAAGTGACAGCATTTGTGTAACAGTTTTTTCCTCAAGAAATTAATGACTCATACTATGTACAGCATGTCTGCTAATTTCTATCAAATGCCCATTAGTCATTTATTGAAAAAGCGCTCATATACTTCAGCTATGAGCTAGGCCCAGTTCTAGATACTTGAAAAATATTAACCAGTCTCCTACCAACCCTCTTACCATCTTCTGTTCATGTTAGACAGGGAACTGAACTGAACTACCTGGAGTCACCTGACCAGTGAGTGGCAGAACAGAGAATCTTCCTGGGAGTCTATCTCCATACTGCCTGTGTTGATCACAGAACTCCGATGTGTCCAGCTAAAGCAGTCATTTGCTTAGGCTTTTGAATAATCGTGGTCTTATGTCTCCTTCCTAACCATATAAGTAATCCAATAAACGTGATGGTTCATTACATTGGACTTGTTAGAGTCTTCTTTTTTTTTCTTTTTTTTGTATGTCATAGCCCTGTCTGGGATGAAATAGACATTTTTTTTTCCACATTCACCAGGAAAAGTCACACAATAAGGTAGTACCCAGGTTTATTGAAAAATCGTGGTTGGGAGAAAACAGGGCAATACTTCAAGGGACAAAGTATTCTTTGATCCATCTTGCCTGTGGAGAGGTAGGACATGAAAAGAACAGTAGTGGAATAATTGTCCTGTGTCTACACACCCGGCCTGTGGGATATGTCTGCCAGGCGAGGAAGCAGTGTGATGGACTTCTTTCATTTGTGACCTTACTCCTCTTTGAATCTCTTTTCCTGAATGTCCCATGATCCTGTTTCTAACCTTGTTGTTTGACTTTCTTTTTCTCTTTTGTTTTTGTGATAGGGTCTTGCTGCATAGCCCTGGCTGTCCTTGAACCATCGATGGCAGTGGTTCTCAGGTTCTCAACCTGGGTCGTGACCCCTTTGGTAATCCTCTGTCTTCAAAAGTGTTTACATTACAACTCCTAACAGTGGCAAAATTACAGTTATGAAGTAGTAATGGAAATAGTTTTATGGTTGAAGGGTCACCACAACATGAGGAACTGTATTAAAGGGTCTATATAAACCAGGCTGGCCTTGAACTCACGGTGAGCCACTTGCTTCCCCGTCTCAAGTGCTGAAATTGCAGACATGTGCTACCATACCCAGGCATCATCATTAGATTTCGATTATCCAATGCTCATTTTTAGAGAAATTTGACTTTAAAACCATGTTTTCACACTAGAGCATTCTGTCTCCAGCATACTTTTATTTTCCCACTTTAAAGCTAATTTTTAAAACATTTTGACCTTTTTTTTTTGCTTGTTCATTCATTTTTCCTCCCCTGCCCCCATCCCCCACCTCAGTAAACCCCCCCCCCCCCCACCCCGCCCCACTTTGTTTTGTGCTTTGTTTAGTTTTCCCCAGAGCTGCTCCGATGAGCTGAGCTAGTCCAGAAAGGAGTTCATTTGCTTTGATCCTGGTGAAAAGAGAAAAACAATGACAATATGATGACTTTCTCATGAAACTAAGTATATTCCATTTGCAAGAAAGTTTGGAGTTTTTGTTTGGTTTGGGGATTATATAATGTCCATGTGTTTGGCATTAGTAAACACATCCCTTTTTAAATGAGATAACAAATGAAGAAGGTAGCTAGTTTTAAAAAAATATTCTTTATGGAGAGATGATTCATCCATTAAGAGTGCTTCCTGCTCTTTCAGAGGACCCAAGTTCAGTTTCCAATACCCACATCAGGCAGCTCACACCAACCATTAACTCCAGCTTCTTCAAGAGATCCAGTATCCTCTTCTGACCTCAGGCAGCACCCACACACACATGGTATACACACACACACACACAAATCTTTAAAAATTCTTCAGAAAAATTAGCATTAATATTATATATATAATATATATAATATTATATCATTCCAACTATATTTGTTCTTTGTTTTACTGTTGACTCAAAAGTGTGAAAAAGAGCTCAGACTCCCGGGTGTTGTTCTGGCCCTGCCCTGTGATCTGCATCAGAAAGAGCAAGAAACCAGGACAGCTTCACAGACGAGGCCAGTGGCCAGCAAACTTCTTCCATAAAGACATGGAATGTCCAACTCTTCCATTAAACTTACTCAACTCCAACACCGAGGCATGAAACCAGCCACAGATGATATGTAAATGAATTAGCATAGTGGCTGTATTCCAATAAGCGTGGGGACACTGAAATTTTAACTTCACACAATTTTTATGTGTCACAAAATAGTCTTCTTGTTTGGTTTTTTTGTTTTGTTTTGTTTTGTTTTAAACCATTTTAACATGCAATAACCACTCTTAGTTCCCAGAGCATACAAAAGTAGGGACAGACTGGAACTAGTCCATGGCCATCTTTTGTTGATCTCTGGTTTAGCCAAATAAAAGAAAATGGACCAAGGGCACAGCAAGGTGTTGTGAGTGACTGTCCTCTGAGCCAATAAATGCCTATCTTGGGGAGTTTAATTGGCTCCTTTGCAAAAGGATCATCCCAGTTGGGCTTTTTGACTAGAGGGTTGGAGAGGGTCATGAGACCCTTAGCTGAGCATCCAGCTGTTCCCTACTACCTGTTGTATACAATGCTGCCTTTAACTACACATGGTCCAGGAAGCAGCTAGATCAGTGGTTCTCAACCTTCCTAATGCTGTGACCCTTTAATACAGTTCCTCATGGTGTGGTGACCCCAAAACCATAAAATTATTTTTGTTGCTACTTCATAACTGTAATTTTGATGCTGTTATGAATTGTAATGTAAACACTTTTGAAGATTAGGGTTTTGCCAAGGGGGTCGCGATCCACAGGTTGAGAACCACTTGGCTAGAATATATAAGTCTGCATGGGAGGGGGTTCCATCTATGCAACTACAGGAAAGTCCTCATCCCTGTTGAGTAAGGCTTTCCAGGGGTGATCTGGAAAATTGGGTGAGGGAAGAACACCCACACCCATGTAAGTAATCCCTCTCCTATGTTCTTTAAAGAAGCCTGACAAACTCATTGGTTTCCTCAGAGTGAACTTTGGCAGAATTGTGCCTCAGTTTGTTGTTGGGATCTTAGGAGAAGGGGTAGATGATGTGGCTTGCATCTTCCTCTGGGAAGGAATTTTAGCAATCCAAGGCCAGGTACAGATTCCAGGTTTTGAGTGCCACTGAGGAAAGCCTATTTCACATAGCGGCATAGCTTGGTTTTCTAGATATAAATTAGAAAAGCAATTAACATCTAGTCCTAATTATTTTTAATGAGAGGAATGATAAATGGCAATGAGAAACTGTTTAACAACTGAAAAAGAACAAATGATACACATGAGTATAATAGGGAAAAGTAGAAAATGTGTCTACTGAGGTGATTTAAAAGATCCAATTTCCTATTTTTTCCAAAAATAATCACAGATGCAGGAAAGTGGGTCCACTGACTAGCAAAAGATCTGGTGTCCACATGTGTGCAGGTGCATAGGAACCAGAAGACAACCTGAGATGACATCTCATGAGTCCTATCTACCTCCTTTGAGACAAGCTCCTTCCTTAGCCTGGATCTAATCATTTTAAGATAGATTGGCTAGCCGCCACCCAGCCCCAAATATCTCACTGTCTCTCCCCCACCCCCAATGCTGGAATTACAAGTGTCTGCCACCATGCCCTACATTTTCAAATTCAAAAATCTGAGGCTTGAACTCACTCAGATCCTCATGATTGTGAGGCAAGCACTGGCCACCTGAGCTATCCTCCAGCTCTATCTTACCCACAACAGATTATTTTTGAGCTAAGTTCAAAGGCTTACAGAACCGCTGATCCACAATTCTAAAGAAATAAAGCACCAATGTCAATCACATTGTTTTTAAAGCAAAGTAGTATAATGAAAAGTTTTAACAAAAATGGTTTTAGAACATTACATTTGAATGTTGCCTTTCATACTTAGAGACTTTAATTGTGGGTAAGTTACTAAAGTTTCTGAGTCTTTATATCTTGATCATTAAGGGTAATAATCAGCTGAGAGTTCATACAGTTATAATCAAGAAGTAAAATATGCAGAGAGGCTTGTCAGGTATATCATAGATGCTGTGGTAGTTTGAGTGAAAGTGACCCTCATAGGCTCATAGGGACTGGCACTATTAGGAGGTGTGACCTTATTGGAGTAGGTGTGGCCTTGTTGGAAAAAGTGTATCACTGGGGGCGGGCTTTGAGGTTTCAAATGCTCAAGTCAGACCCAGTGTCATTTTCTCTTCCTGCTGCCTGCTAATCTAGATGTAGAATTCTCAGCTTCTTCTCCAGCACCATGTCTGCCTGCATGATTCTCACTATGACAATGGATTAAGCCTCTGAACCTGTAAACAAGCCCAATTAAATGCTTTCCTTATTAACAGTTATCATGGTATCCTTTCACAGCAATAGAAACCCTAACTAAGACAGATGCTCAGTGAAAGCTGGGCTTGGTGACACATGTCCATAATCCCAGTACTCGGAAGACTGGAGCAGGAAGATGGTCACAAGTTTGAAGCTTAAAATCCTATCTCAAAAGAAAAAAAATTTGCCCTTCAAAATGACCAATGAGCCAGGTGGTGGTGGTGGCGGCGGCGGCGGCGGCGGCGGCGGCGGCGTATACCTTTAATCCCAGCACTTGGGAGGCAGAGCCAGATGGATCTCTATGTGTTCATATGTGTTTGAAGCCAGCCTGGTCTATAGAGAGAGATCCAGGATAGGCACTAGAACTACATGGAGAAACCCTGTCTCGAACCCCCCCCCAAAAAAATGACCAATGAATAATTTGCATTATTATTAAATAAAATTCTAGAATTTAACCATTTACCACAGCTTTAAAAGAAAATAATCTTGAAAAAATCTTTTTTTGCTTTGGTGCCTGTCCTGGATCTTGCTCTGTAGACCAGGCTGGCCTTGAACTCACAGAGATCCACCTGGCTCTGCCTCCCAAGTGCTGCGATTAAAGACATGTACCACCATGCCTGGCCAAAAAAAAAATCATTTTTATACTGAAATAAGTAATGAAACTAAAATATTTCATTCTTATAAAAATAGTTTTTTCTTCACTGGATGAAATAATTTGCTTAGATGTCTATTTATAATGTTCTTAGAAAATGACACAATTAAAGCAGATTTGTCATTGAAATGCCCCAAAGATTATTCTTCTATACAGACAGCCTAGAGTCTTTAAGCTTTGTTTCTTTTCTGTAAATAAGTTGGTAAAGATGAAGAATATATTCTTTATTCATTTGTGTGTGTGTGTGTGTGTGTGTGTGTGTGTGTGTGTGTGTGTGTGTGTGGTATTTGGAGGGCGGGGGCAGGTTTCGTATAACCCAGGCTAGCCTTGTAGCCTTGACTATCTTGAACTCATCATTTGTAGTTCATGACTACCCTTGAACTACTATGACTACCCTTCCTGCCTCCACCTCACAAGTGCTGAGATTAGAGGAATGTGCCACCACACCTGATAGAATGTAGCATTTAAAGGCTGTAGTTAGAGTATCATTATCTTGTCTCTTTCAGAGTAATACTAAAAGCATCATAGTAAGTGTCAGACAGAGATCGTCTTCAATTACAACTCTGCTAATTCATGTCTATGTGATGACCTGGGGCAATTAATCTAAGTCCCTGGCTTTTGTAAATGTAAAATGGGGCAATAATCTGGCCTTTCTCAGACAGTTGTATGAAGTTTCGATGATAGATGCTCATAAATTGCTACTTGGATCAGTATTTTCAAGTGTTGTGTTTGGAAAAAAAAATGTTAGCACAATGAAATAGCAACTAACCACATTATTGAAGGGTAAATTTTGATAACTTTCAGTTCTCTTTTGTTGCCTTGAATGGAATTAGATAAATTTTAAAAGAACTGGATCATACTATGCATGATAAAGGTTGGTGCTCAGATAAAAGCAGAATCGGAGGTAGATGTCTTTGATTGTTCTAGTAAGCTATGAGCTGTAAGAACCAGGAACAGGATCCATTTAGGATGCTAAAAAGATTTGCTCAGTATCCTGGAGACATTGGGATGTAACTCTTCAGACATATCCTCCTGCCTTCTCAATCGAGCCGCTCGTTCACAAAGACAAGCTAGATCTATGTGCTGCGTGGATGCAGATGTACCATCAGCACCTAGAACAGCGCCCATGAATTGTCAATTCCAGGTAACACCCCCGTGAATAAAGAATGAACTGTTTCCTGACTAGGCAGCTTGGCAAACATTCAGTGCCTCAAGCTCTGCTTAGAAGTGTAGATGGAAGGTGAACAGGTCTCACAGCTACCCTAAGTAGGAAAAATAGAGACCAAACTTCATGTCCTGCAGGTCTAGGTGTGAAGTCTTGACCCACAGGGACTTGGATTTCTGGGGTGGAGGGGAGTGGGAGAACAGAGGGAACATGCACAAACTGAGTGACTCCATGGCACCAAGAAGGAAGAAGGAAGAAAACTGAGACAGTCTCAAGCTGGTCTTGAACTTACATGACGGAATGTTTGAATCAAGGAGGAAACTGCTATACAACAAAATCCCCTTTAGCTCCTATAGTACATTAGGGGACCCCCTTTTCATACTGAGGAAAGCATCAAAGCCAAGAGGAACTTTATAGTAACCTTGACCTATGGTTATAAAATAAGCTCTAGGAGGAAACACAGACTTACAGTTTTAACTGTTAATTCACTCAGCAGATACTTCTCAAAATCCTCCTATGTTTCATGTAGCACTAAACACCAACACTCATGGATGAACCCACTGTTCCCATGACTACAAGGAAGGCTACATGGTAGCCAGGAAACCTGATCTACATAGTGCAATGACATGTGTGTGAGACCGGGATGGGGGGCAGTGTTGGGGGGCTCAAGAGAAAGAGCCATGGAAGCTAGCTAGCTATGGGGAATCCAGATCAACTTGAAGAATTTGCAAGGCTTTCTAGAAGACCTGGTACCTCGACTAAGGCTTATGTCATGTGCAGAAATTGAGATATAGGGGGTGTCGCCTGCCACACTGGGTAAAGTATGAGCAAAGCCATAGTGGCATGAGCCATGTGCTATATGCAGAAAATCACACACACGTGAGTCAGCTGACTTAGAGGTGCTGCTGAAGGGGGTGCGGAGGGCAGGATGTAGAGGGCCTATTAGCAAACCAAGGAGCATGATTTGGGGTTAATGCTGATGGAAAGCCTAAGAATCAGAGGGGTGCAATGCCATACGTACTTAGAGGCAGGGAGAATAATAGGGAAAGTGTGACAGTGGCCACAGGTGATATCAATCTGAAGCAGGAAAAGGAATGGCCCTCTACATATAAGAAAGAGACTTAAGGATTAATGGGTAGAAATTAGTGAGACTTAAGGTAAGGAGGGCTAGAAGGAGAAAGCAAGGGAAACCCTCAACTCTCTGTCTTGGAAAGTATTTCCAAGCATAAGTAGAATAGGATTAGATGGATTTTAGCCATTATTTTAATTACTTATCTCTGTAATAATAATAATAATAATAACAACAACAACAACAAAAACTTACTTTGGTTCAAAGATTGAGGGTGCAGGACATCATGGAGTCGGAGAAGCCATGGTGGCCAGAGCTGGAGGCACTGATCATGTGACATCCACAGCCAGGAAGCAGGAAGCAGAAGGAGATGAATGAATGCTCTCAAGAAGCTTCCTCCTTTTTATTCGGTCTAAGAACCAAGCCCAAATGGTGTTCCTACTTTTATGGTCACATGTGTTCCTGGAGGCCTGTCTCTGGTAATTCTAGATCCTGTCAAGTTGACAATATTAACTGTCACAGATATGTTGACTTAGAAACACCAAGGAGAAAATATTTATTTATTCATTCACCCCTCCATTAAAACACTGTTGAGAAGTCCCTCTATGTGACTTCCCATGTGTGAATTTGAAGGGAAGCTTGAGAGTCACTGGCAGTGAATCACCAGGAGTTAACTCCTGAGCATGGCTGGCACCATCATGACATGAAGGATGCTCTTAGGGGAGCCTACTGAGAAGCATGGACATAGTCACTCTGCTGGAGAATATAAAGAAAGAAGAACTGGGAGACAAAGATGAACCTCTGGAGTACACAGTATGGGTAAAGGAGGCAGAAATAGAGCAGCTAGAAAGGCAAAGTCTGAGAAATAAGCTGAGAAGGACCCAGAAGCTAGGTAGATGCCTATTTTCAAGGCCTTTGGAGCCTTTGCCCATAGTAAAGCTTCATGAATTATTCCTAAACTTTAAGAAGGTCTCTAGACAAATCTGAATTGGGGAAGGTATTAGTTACTTTCCTCATTGCTCTGGCAGAATTTTTGACCAGAAGTAACATAAGGAAGAGACCATTTATTTGGGCTCAGAGTCTGAAAGTAAAATTCATCACGGTGGGCAAGTCACTGTAGCAGGAGTGTGAACAGCTGGTCCCAGTGTATCTGTAGTCAGGAAGCAGGGCAATGAATGTTGGTGCTCAGCTCACTTTTTATTCCTTCTCATGAGAAAAGCCCACTACTACTCAGGGTGGATCTTCCACCTCCATTAAAGTCCTCTGGAAACACCCTGTCCTAGGTGATTTAATTCCCATCAAGTTAACAATAAAGACTAACCCTCACATGGTGGGGGTAGGGGGACGTCTTTTTCTAGAGTTTTGTTTATTATAATCTAAAGGGGATATATAGATGACAATTACATTCATCGTTACCAAATTTAAATGTCAAGTTTATGTAAATGCATGCTTTATCTTTAAATAATTGTGGCTGCTTTTCTCTCATTCATGACTAGTGTTCTTTATTCTTGGTGTTAACTCCATTCTGCTCATTTAGACCAGAGGATGCAATTCGATCAACATGAGCAAAACTGAGTAATCTGATTGTGACATTTACTTAGAATGATATATCCATGTACTCATGAGAGATTTGGCTTCTGGTCTTTTCCATATGAGCATGATGATTACTGGTTGTAAACATCTGGTTTGGGTCTGATTTGTCCTTCGGCTACTTAAGGTCTGTATTCCTGTCTTATGGTAGCAACATCTAGGTTTTTTCTTGGAGAAAGTCCTTTCTCATTCCTAGCTCAAGTGGTTTAGGAAGACCTGACTTTACTGGGTTTCAGAGAAAAAGTATTTGGCTCACTGTTGACCAGTAAAATATTATAGCTTAAGTTTGACTAAGGAAAGAGCCCGTGACCCAGTCAGAGACAATGAGATACAATGCTTGGGTCTGGTAGAGCAACCAGGCCACAGGTATGACCTGCTGAAGGGGAAGCTGGATGGATGTACACCTGGAGCTGCTGTGGTCCAACACTGTGGGTAGAGACTGTCAGAGAATGAAGCTAAAGCCGGTGAAAAATGGAGATCAAATGCTGTAGATGTTGCTTGACACCTGGCTTCAACAGCAGTTGAACATGGGCTAGTCGGTCCTGAGAGAGGGGCGAGCGCCATTCTGAAGGGACCAGCGATGGCTTCTGTTGCGCTCGGCTGACTGGAGAGGCCTTGGAATGCCACCTCGGGCCCCCAGGCAGGGTTCTTCAGCTTCATTGCACCACAGTGGCTTTCCTCATGGGTGGGTTCATGCTCCCATTCCTGAAGCTAGCATACTGCTGCTGTACTTTTCAGCATGAGCCATTACATTCTCTATCTAAACTTTGTCAGATTTTTTATGAGTTTTCCATTGCTTGTAACCAACAAGTCCAGGTGAAAAACCTAATTTCGTCTCTGTTTTCCCTGCTTCATCCACCAGCAGGGAACCAACTATCCAATGCCACAGTTATTCCCGGCTGGCCCATCATGCATGCATGTGCAGGACAGCCTCCCACTGTTTCTACTTTGTATTCCTTCTGTCCCAGAGATCTGTTCCTGGGCCTGAATTCCTTGAACCCCCAGCCTCAGCAGTGGACCTACTGCTTCTCATGGACTCTCCCTGCTTATTCTAATCACCTCCACCAGGCTCTTTCCACCCTGCCAGTTTGTTTGTTTGAATAAGAAGAGGCAGAACTGTCTGGAAGCCACCTCTGTCCCCAGGCTTGGAAAGCCCAGTGCCAAATTATCGGATGCTGGCCCCCACCCAGCACTGCCGGTAGGTACACTCTGTTCAAGCTCCAGCCTTCTGGTCCCAGCGAGCCAGCGTCTAGCCTGCTGCTTGTCCTTTCTTCCCTTCTGACTGCAGGTTTAGCTCGGTGTTATTTCCAATTCCATCCTATCTGTTGCTCCGGTGCCATCCCTGACTTTTGCCGTTTCCCTTCCAGTGACCTTGGGAATTTTTAAATCATAACTCAGTGATCTCGAGCAATCTATCATCCAAATATTATTTCATTATCGCATGGTAGCATTCTCCCTCCTCAGATGAGGTCGTTTCCTCTTCTCCCGCCTCCAGTCAGGTAAGAAAAGACTTTCATAGCTGCCAGGGGAGGAAAACAACCACCTTCAGAATGGCAGATGGGGAGAGTTTCCCTTTAGCTTTTCCAGAAACATCGGGGAGATAACAAAGGGATGGAAGTTTCTCTGAGTACGTACAGGTAATGACTTGCTCGCCTTTCTTCACTTTGACAGTCTTTCTTTCTCTTCTCTAATAAATATAAATTAAGTAGTCTTTTATGGGCTTGTCAAGCTCTGGAGAATTGAGCTGTAATCACTGTGCATTTGGCAAATCTTTAATTGCCCATTACACACCGGGCACCGTGCTAAGTAATGGCGAATGAGACAGGCAAGCCCCCTTCTTTTCATTCAGCTCGGACCCCTTTGAGGACAGAAAAGAGGCCTCAACAAATACTATAAATAAATAAATAAATAAATAAATAAATAAATAAATAAATAAATAAATAAATAAATAAATAAATAAATAAATAAATAAAGTGAGTGAGTGAAATGTCGGAGAGTGAGAAGCGCTGCTGTGAGGTAACACATTCAGAGGCTGAGGACCTGCTGTGACAGTGGCCAGAGAAGGTAGCACTTGATCTAATCCAAAGAAAGCACACAAAGGCTTGAGTCAGTGTCCCAGAAGGCCAGCATGGGCAAAGGTCCTGAGCACAGAGCAAGCCTGCTGCTTCACAGCAGAAGTTAGCCAGCTGCAGCCCAGAGGCTAAATCCAATCACTTGTTTCCTCCTCCCCTCCTAGCCTGTCCTCCTCCTCCTCCTCTCCCTCCTCTTCCTCTTTCTCCTCCTTCTGGAGTTGAGGAATAGAGGGGTGAGGGTGGTGATATATGTAGTATGGTGTGTGTGTGTGTGTGTGTGTGTGTGTGTGTGTGTGTGTGCTTGTTAGCACAGGTATGTGCACAGGAATGCATTCAGGTGTGTGCACATGAGTGTGGAGGCCAGAGATAACTGTCAGGTGTCTTTCCTTGATCACTCTTCACCTTTAGTTTCTGAGACAGGGTCTGCCACTGAACCTGAAAGCTCATCAAGTTAACTAGGCTGGCCGGCCAATGAGATTCAAGGATCTGCTGGTCTCTTCCCCCCCTTTTCTCCCTGCCCCCGCCTCAGTACTAACTACTGTCAGGGGCGCAGAGTGTTTTTTACATGGGTTCTGAGCATCCAAACTCAAGCCCATCAGAGCGGCAAGCGCTTAGCCGACTAAGCCATCTCCACCAGCATCCAGCCTGTTTTCCTTCTTCGGGTGTGTTATGAGCTAAGAGTGGATTTTATACTTTGAAGTGAATAAAAAAACAAAACAATAAATGACATTTGGTGATGCATGAAAGTTATGTGAAGTTCAAGTTCCAGCAACCGTAAGTAAGTTTTACTGGACCATTGCCACGTTCACTCACTGATGTATTTTCCGTGGCTGATGACTTTTCAACTCTTTGGCTGGGTTGATCAGCTGTAACTGCATGTGTCTGCAGTAGAACATTTACAGACTCCTGTGATGAAGGGACAGGAACACATCTTTCTAAGCTAGAGGAAACACTGAATTTATTTTAATTATTTGCATTCCCTTTGCCTTTAAACAACAGAAACCCTGTGTCTCACTGACTTAAATAATGTGGGGTAAAAGGAGCCATTTTGAATCTAAAGACAAGTCTACTAGCTCATGAACACCTATTAGTGACCTCAGTCAATGCGACATGTAACAGAAGAATCACCTAGCTGAGCTGGTTGGCTTCCTGGCCCATAGCGTTGTGAAATACTGTACAGAAGACGTTGCTTTAAGCTCCTCATTTTGTGGTGACTGTTTCAAAATGATATGCAACCAGGACAAACCATGCAAAATAAATAAATAAACAAACAAACAAACAAACAAACAAACATGTTGCTCTTCTGGTTGGCTGACTGAAAGGACGGTAGCAAAACGACTATAGCAGTTTCAGGAACACATTCAGATCTGACAATGTCCAGAGAAAGAGGAAAGATTATCTTTAGGAGAGGGGAAAATGTAAGCTAAATGCAATCACCCGCCTCTCCTGAGTCACTGGAGATGGGAAATATCCCGAATCATAATTTTATTAGAGAGAAAGTAGGTGAGTAGATATTGGGCCAACATGCACTGGGTCCAGAGTACCTTTCTTCCTACCATTCTTCTTTTGCTCCCTAACCTAGAATATTCTAGGTTGAATCACATGAATATCCATTTCTTATAAGTCAAAAATAGTCAAATAACTTTAATCTCAAATTGCTAGCTGTCTTAGTTAGGTTTCCATTGCTGGGATAAACACCATGACCAAAAGCAGCTTGGGGTAATATGAAAGCCAGTCCTCAAGGAGGAAGCTTTCAGGTCAGATGTAGTTTGGTTCTTCTTGAGTTCTGTGTCTGACGTGCATGGCATCTTCAGAAATAGGGACTTACCTTCAACTTCTGGGAAGCAACTAAGAGCAACAGACATAGCCCCTATTGTTTTGGGGAATCTCTTGGACTCCTCTGACAAACAACTGGAAGTGGGGTTTTGCATGCTTGGCACTGGGGTTTTTGTTAGATGGTCCATGGCTCTTGGGGAGCAGTTCCATTATTTTAACAAGTGGCACAGATAATCCTAATCTTCCATATCTCTAAACCATTGTTTTGGCAAGCTGGAAATAAAAGAATAATGTTTAAATTTCCCATTTGGCTGTATCAGAAGGTTTTGTTTCTGGACTAGAGATATAGCTCAGTGGTAGAATGCTTACCTAATAGGTACAACCCTGTATCCAATTTGTAACGAGAAGGGAGGTGAGGGAGTGAGGGAGGGAGAAAGAGAGGGAGAGGGAGAGGGAGAGGGAGAGAGATTGATTTCATTTCTGCCACTAACTGTGGCTCCTGGGATAAACCCCTTTCATTCCGTCTTCAGTGACTCCTGCATTAGCTCTCTGTAAAGTAACTCTTCCCACTATCTCATCCTACTGGTGGCCACACCTCAGCTGCCTTTGTAAACTATCCCTCTCCACTCTCAGAAGGCTGGTGGGACTATCAGTCAAGGGGTTCCACTGCCTCCAGTTTAGCCAATCAGATTCTCTCTCTCACAGGAAATTAAATTTGAGAGTCCATTTGTCTCTGCTCTTCAATCTGCCCTGCGCTTTCTGAAACCTGGGTTTATTGTTTTTGTTTTGTTTCTCTCTCTCTTTCTTTTACCCAGCTTTCCCTAGGGATCCATAAGCAAACCACAGCCTTCTAGCTAATCCTTTGTTTTGCTGAAGTCAGCTAGTCTGTTCAACTTCGCAGAGAACCCAGTCTCTGCGAATCAAGATCTTTGATAGAGTGTTCTATATGATAATGATACCATAGTTTCCATTCTTATAAAGCCACTGTGAATGATCCTTTTGTGACGATCAAGACCATGCAATGGGAGATCAAGAGCATATTTTAATAATGGCATCTTTGTTCCAGTAATTCTGGGAAATGAAAAATCTTCAGTAGGATAAATGGTTATTCACTGTCTCGCTGAAATATCTTAAATTGAAACAGGCTTTGGCTAAAACATTTTCTAAACAAGGATTATTGTTCTGGACTTCAAGAAAAGGAAGGAGAAGGAAAAAAGAAGCGTGTGGGCTCAGTTTAAAACACACACACACATGCACACATACATACACACTCATCGCTTCAACCTCACCTTTTATGAATTTAAGAAAAGTTCAAGTCTTTAAGTACTTTTAGGAAAGCTGGGAATTGTATTCTGATATATGGAGGACATGGCTTTGGTAGCTGACATCTTCTCTTAGCAGCCACTGTTTGGTTCCTCCCTTATCTGTCTGTGGCAGTTAGTATACTGTCTGCTGTCTCTATTGATATCCTCCTGACTCTAGCAAGCAATGGCTGAGAAGCTCCTGTGAACCAAGCACCATGCCTGGCTTTTGCCTACATCACCTCATTTAACCCCTACTATGCCCTTTAATGCCAATGTTATTATCCCCACTTTACAGAAAGGTAAGAAGCTTGGTGAGGTTAAATATCGGGGCTGGATAAGCCATGGGGTCACTTAATCTGTGTCCTTGTTGTTAGGTTTCAAACCCAGGACAAATGGCTAAGCAAGGTGCCTATTTAACATATCCAGGCCGACCTGGTTGCCAGGTTCTCCCAGCATCCCTCAGTCCTTACCTGTTGCAGGGTATGAATGGCATACCTCACCCCTTACCCTAAACTTCTCCAGCCCAGGGCCTGGGCTGCCCTTTCCCCAGCGGCCCTTCCCTATATAATCCAGCCATTTTGGTTACCTGGCCCTTTTGTCTACTTTACTCTCCTGGCTCTCTCCTCTTCTGGCTCTTCACAATGCCCAGCTCAGGGTCACGTTCACTTTTCACTCTCCTAGATGTCTCTGCCTCTGGATAAGCTCTCCCTTTTATCCATGATAAACCTTCTCCTCCATCATACCTAGGAGCAGTCACACCCTTCTTTTTTTATTTCTTTTTTTTCACTCACTCATCTTTCCCTAGGTCTTCTTTATAATGACCCTTTGCCTTAAATTGAAAGCATGTCCAAGTCTAAGGCAACACTGTAGAGTGTTAACTGAGACATCCCAACTCAAATAAAACAGAAACTCATTTTACCACCCGTATCTTGCTTTGTATCCCTGACCAGACTGTATGTTTTTTCCATGGGATCGCCAGGACACAACCAGAACAGGGAAGGTACTCAAAACATGCTTATGGTATCAGTGAATATCCTGTAGGGCCCTTAGACTGACCAATCATCACAAAGAGAATGTATAAAGAATCCCTTCCTGGGGCTGAGGAAGTGGAGCTCAGGGTAGTGTTTGCCCAGCAGGTATGAGGTGTGATCCCAACACCCAAGAGAAGGGAACGGGAAGAGGAAGGGAAGGGGGAGAAAGAGAAAGACAAGAGAAGAGAAGGGACTCTCTCCTTGGGAAATAAAAACCCCTTTGCTAGCCCATTAAAACCAGCCACTTTGAAGTGTGGCTGAGCCATCAAACATCAGGGGGTGATTTCACACTAGGAACCCCCAGAACTCTGTTCTATCTTCTGGGCACAGCCATGCTTTGGCCTGAATTAATGAAGAGCAGAAGCTTCTAACAGTCTCCTGTGATCAGTATGGGGTAGCAAAGGAGAAGTGGATGAGATCTACATGAGCGGACTGGGAGTGGGGGGCGGGCGGAGGGCGAGGAGTGGGGGATGAGAACATAGGGAAATGGGAGGGTGGAGCTGGAACAGGGACAGAGTGGGAGGGCAGGGAGGGAGATACCATGATGGATGAGGACATCATGGGAATAGGAAGAGTCAGGGTGCTGGGGAGGTTCACAGGAATCCACAAGGATGACCCCACCTGGGAGTGCTGGTCGTGGTCTAGAGGGTGCCTATACTGGTCTACTCTGGTGACCAGTCTAGTGAATACCCTAACCACCATCATAGAGCCTTTGTCCAGTGACTGATGGAGGCAGATGCAGAGATCCATGGCCAGGTGCCAGACTGAGCTCCAGGAATCCAATCATAAGAGAGAGGTGGGTTTCTGCAGGTGGGGGATGTTGAAATCATGATAGAAAGACATGCAGAGATGACCAGCCACACTAGTGGAAGCCCATGAACTGTAGACTAGTGGCTGTGGAGCCCCCAAGGGACTGGACTAGTCCCTCTAGATACCAAAGACGGTTGTTTGGCTCAAACTCTCTGGGTGGCACCCAGACAGAGGGATCAGGATCCGTCCCTGGTGCATGGGCAGGCTTTTAGGAGCCCAGTGCTGGTGGTGTGATGCCTTGTGAAGCCTTGGTGCAGTCGGGAAGGGCTTGGACCAGCCTAGGCTCAGTATGCCGTGCTCTGCTGACTCCCCATGGGAGACCTTGATTTGGGGGATGTGGGGATATGGGGTGGCTTGGGAGAGAGGGCTGGAGGGTGGGAGGAGGGAGGAGATAGGATCTGTGGGTGGTATGTAGAGTGAGTAGAAAATTTCTTAATAAAGAAAAAAATGAAAAAAATTTAACATCACAGAAAAAAATAAAAAAATAAAAAATAAAGAAGTCTGGGGTAGCAGCCATGCCTTTCCCAGGGCGGGTTAGCTTTCAAAGAGCTCAATTCCGGACAGCATGCTCTCTACCAGGACAGGGAGCATCATGTTGCTCTATCACTTTCAGAACTGGAACTAAGCCTTGGCTGATAAAAGAGCCACTCTATTCATTTGTGTCTCAACGTGGAAATATCCAAACAGGCACTTACCCACCTGCTGAAGTTCCCACCAGCTCCAGGGGGGCTCCCTCGGTAGTCAGTCTCCTTCACTCACTACTGTTTAGCTCTGACTTTGGCCTTGAGGTTTCAGGCTAGGCTATGGCTGTACCATAGACCAGACTGAGAGCTTGGGCCGAACACAGTAGTTCTTAAGGCCGCAGGGTCCTTGTTGGGATATGCTCCTGTATACAGCATGCCTTGAGCAGTGGCAGGTATGTGACTAGGAAGCAGGAAATGGTGGCTTCGTTGCTGGCTTTGTTCATACATTTTTATGCTCACCAGTGAGAAGTCCAATGTCTTCTTGTGTTATCTGTCAAGTGTGATCTGAAGGACTCCTCCAACTAACTAGCTAACTTCCTCAACTTAGAAATTGTAATGAAGGGTTACACTAGTAACATTCTGCTCTGATCACCCTTGGGAAAAGGTTCAATACACTCTAAATCTATGATCATTTACTGTATGTATATTTGGTATGTGTGCATATATATATAAATGTATGTTGGAATGTGTACAGGTGCATGTGTATACTGATGTGTGTGTACAAGGAGGCTCAGATATGTAGGTGTGTGTGTAAAAGTATGCATGTGTCTGAAGGTGTGTGTGAGTGTGTGTGAGTGTGTGTGTGTGTGTGTGTGTGTGTGTGTGTGTGTGTACACAGATGTTGGTTTGAGGATGTGCTCTAGTTTCATTTCTGTTGCTGTGATAAAACTCCCTGACCAAAAGCAGCATGGGGGAGGAAAAGGTTTTGTGTGGCCTACAACTCCAGATTACAGCCCACTATTGAAAGGAAGCCAGGGCAGGAACTTGGAGCAGGTCACATTATATCCACAGTCAAGAGCAGAGAGACCAGGAATTAAGGCCAACAACTGCCAAGTGGGACCTCATAAACTATAGAGCTTCTTTAAACAAAACACAAAGAGAGGGGAATTCATCCTTGCTATAGATAAAGATATAGATATAGATGATATAGATATAGATATAGATATAGATACAGATATAGATAGATAGATATAGATATAGATATGTGTGTATACATACTTCTATATATACACATATATATGTGTGTGTGTCTGAGTGTGTGTCTGAGTGTGTGTGTGTATCTTTCTCCTTCTTATATAGTTAAGGACCCCCTGCCTATGAAATGGTGCTACCCACAGTGAGCTAGGTCTTCCTACAACAATTAGCAGTCAAGACAATCCCCAACAGATATGCCCACAGACAAACTTGACCTAGGA